AGCTGAGATTTTCGTGGAACAGATTTTAATTATATTCAGTCGGTAATATTGAGTTTCTTCAATCAGCTCCATTTTTTTTTCCAATCAAGCAGCAGACATTGAAGATTCGATAGGAGATGCTTTGTAGACTTTCGGTTTCATTCAAGCTTTCAGATCTTCTGCGTTAATTGAGCATTTGCAGTTGTTGCCCAAAACGGACCAAAACAGATCATTTTAAGGGGTGCGTAGCCCGGACATGGCAGTGGCGTACGCCTAACAGAGGAAGACTGCAGCCCAGTTTTTAACCCAGTCCTTTTGCTTTAGGTTCGAAAGCGTCTATTTTTAATTCGTGTAAAGGAGGATGTGGTACAATAATCTCACTATGGTACTGTCATGGAGGATCACTTGCTCTGACCGCTACCTTCCAGCCAGTTCGGCATTAAAATACTCCCTCGCCATCAAAATTGGTTCTCCATTCTTCAGTACTATACGTTTTTAAAAGCTATTGAGATACAAAGCCATAACATGATGTGAAAGAGACACTTGGGTCACTGAAAGAACGAAATAGGTGTTTTTTGAATTCAAAGACAAGCACAAATCAAACAAGCAAGTACAAAAGTAAAAAGGACAACAGGACAAAAGAGCATACCATTTTCCTGGGACGCTGCCGATATCAACTCCGCTTGAAGATTCAAAAAAGCTCTGGTTCCTGCAAAGTCCGGAAATTTCTCCTAAACGAGCGTAATTAAACTCCGCCGCACACGTAGATGCAAAACAGCGAAACTACGACGACGAAAACTTCAATGCGGCTGATTCCATATAAAATTAAAAAGAACGGAACAACATAGCAGGTACTTAAATAACTTCAACAATAAGTAATACACAACTCACCCAGCTGTGCGTTAAACAACTTATCAGCCATATCAATTAAGTCCGGTATTCCGATAGGGCGACACCTGGGGACAGCGCGAAAAGGACCTCGGGAAATCGTAGCCCTAGATAGAACCGGCAAAATCGGCGGAGCAGGACTCTTCATAACTGAAAACTCTGTTGTTCTACTGGGAAAGGATAAAAACTGATTTCTGAAGCAGGGCGATACGAACTGTTTACAGCTGGGAACTACTGTATGAAGCACCGCAATTTTACGATACCCGACTTTGAAAACGAATGGAAACGTTTCTGCTCTGTAGTTCATCCAACTCTGTCCACATACGCAGTAATTGCTAGAACGGTGATCCCCGGTCTGATCTACGTTGTTGACTGGCTCCTTTAGGAAAAAGATTTGTATGATGTACTGACTGTAACGCAGTGTATGCACCCATCTACAACCATCCCATGAATCTTTCGAGTAGGAATTCGATGAGGTTTGAAAACGGTAGCTGACAAAGAATCCCGATGTCCCGATCACTGTCCTTATGTTCAAAGTACATGTCGGAACAGACAACCAGAAAAGGAAAGAAACGATTGGTAAATACAACGACCTTCATATGAACCCAAATGGTGTCAAAACATTAGACTTCTACGGCCTGACAATAACGAACACAATCTTTCAGCAACATAATGTACATCGGTAACACGATACGCTGACAGCGATCACTGATCGATTTGACTGTCGTGTCACCTGACCAACTTTCCATGGTGATGAATGTTGGTGAAAGATGGAGGGTGGGCAAATCACCGTTTAGTTGTACGTAAATGAAATTTTCAAAATTCCTGATAACCTACGGGACAGGTGGACCAAAGTTTGTCTGCCTGATAAAGTGAGAAACCCTGAAAGGCGACGGCGCGGAGAGGAGATTTGCGAATGACGTATCGGCGATTTAATCAGACACTCAACCGGGCCTTAACCACAGCTAGAGCTGTTCAAAACAGCCTTAACTGCTTCAATATCCCTCTCAGAGGACGACTAACAAGGAACAATTCCTTGCTGAAAATTAGAAATTCAAGAGGAAGACAATAAAAAGAAGGCTAATTTGTAAGGGCTCATTTCTCTGCATTTCTAGTGCGGTGAAGCTCGCAAAGCTGCAGTACAGACAGTGCAAGATGTAAAAGCCAGCGACAGGGAATAGTTCGCATAGAAACTGACTATCGATTGACAAATAAAGGTGAGCAATGAGGCAATTTCAACAGACAATCCGCCGTGTGTGACGGGGCAGATTAAGCATCGCCCGAACTCTGAAGAGCTAAGATAGAAGCTTTCTAAACCGCTGGGAAAATATCCTACAGAACTGACGGGAAACAGTTCGAGGACCTCACAAATCCAATCTCTGCAGACTCTGCCGAAGGTTGAAAATGCGTTTTAGAATGGAAAGTAGTGTCACAATGACTGATGTGTCGCTACATTAAACCAATGAAAAGGACAAAGTTATTGGAGAGGAAACAACCCAACATGAGAAGCTAGGGGAATGGAGATGACACAATGTGGCTCATTCCAATACGCTAGGCTGCGTGGAACCGGTCCGCTTCAATGTCAGAGTTTCAAAAGCATTTTACGGGGTATGGTCAGAGAGCGATTAGTTAGCAAACCAAGTCAGTCTCAAGCTTATTCTTCGGTTTATAAATTCATGTCGAACGCAGCCCTCCTAGAAGATGTCATCCATTTGATAATTCCCAAAACAGAAACTTGCTTTCCATAAATTCTGCCATTGTGTCTACTTCGGGAAAGGGAAAATAATTAGACTGCAGGAATTCCATGACAGAAATGAGGTACACTAAGAAATATTTTCCCTAGCAGTGAAAATCTGTCACCAATCCTGAAATTCTCGACCACTGAGAATGACACTGAGGGATCATAAAACCATCTATACCTTTTGAGGAAATTCCGTCTAAGAGAAGGATAAGCGTACACAGTCCTTATGCCGAAATTGTGAGCACCGTCCGCACTAATCTCAAAACTAAAATTTTTTCATCCCCTGCGTACCCGCCGAAAGCAGGATGACAAATTATCGACGAAAAGAACCGAAAACCAGTGAGACTGTTGACGGAAATAGTGAGCAAAATTCTCTCAACTAATATGGCAAAATTTTGGCACTGCCACTAAGATGACAGTTATCCTTTAAAGGGGAGGATGAAATACGTCGCTGCAACTGTCACATGAGTAGCTTATATGCAGACGGAACAACGGGTAATTCTCATCCAATATGTCAGGCAATAATATATCAGGATGAACAACATCCTGTTAATTTCAAAAATTTAATCCATTTACCCGCAACTTAGAGGAGATGAAGTCGTTCCGTACAAAATCGTATCACATAGCCCTCATGAAACAAACATTGCCCTATGCTATTCAACCGTCATCTTTGGTTTTCGTCTGAACAACGATCGGCAGGCCAGAGAGCAGCAATGGCCTGAAGGAAGCGAGTTAGTAGCAGAATTCTGTGAAAAAGAGAAGACCAACGGAAAGTCTGCAATCATTGCAATATCGGTCTTCTTTACATTTTCATGATGAATACATTTCTGGCGCCCTACATCTGATGAAATCAATGATGAGACGCGAACATCGGTGCCATGCCATTAGCCAGGAGTGCCTTAGTCTAAAGGCAGCGGACTGCAGCTACGTGGAAAACAGTCTGTAGTCTTCGGTTTCCCTTTTGTTGAATGTTACCAATTTATCATCTTGGACGAGAGAAAGGCGAACTATGAACGTCAGATCTCTTGGCCTGAGTCCGACGCTTTACTGACTGAGCAACCCCTGTGTTCTGTGAAAAGAGGTAAGAGTGAGGGATGCCAACTGCGTAAGTAAACTGCACAAACAAAGAATAAATCAAAAAGTGCAGGGAGCGAAGTAGAGGAAGAGGAAAACTAAATTACCGAAAAAATTTTTAGCACATTTCTGCTTTCGGTGGCGTACTTCAATTCGTAAAGACATCTAGCTACACGAAAGAACGCTTTCATATACGAAGAGTCAAGCTTCAGCGCGGCACAGCAGTCTCTGAGGGCGGCATAGACGTCTCCATCCCTAAAAAATTCAAATCGCTCACGTGACAATTCACTCAAGAACAGATATATTGATCGAATTCATCAATTGCTCACTTGAGCAATAATGAATGATAGCTGAACAAAGAAAAACGACAGTCGAAGCACAACAGCGATTTAACATTTCATTAACACTTAGAGCGCTTAGAATGGCAATAATTAACACAACCAGGTTACATTGTCTTTACTGCTGAGACTGAATGCTGCTGTACAAATGTGGGAAACTGGCCGTAATTTTTCGGAGTGGAAAGTCAGAAAGCTTTACATTGACATTAATGGGAATGCGATTTTCGAACTACGGATTTTCACCTTAAGAACAATTCACATGGAACGAATTACGTTCGTAAAACGAAATGTAGGTGTACTTTTTGCACGATTACCTTACTTGCTAGGATGTCCTGTAAAGCGCGGATCTGACAGTATGGCTAAAGCTTGATAAATTCGACTGAGGCATGATCAAACAACACATAACAGCGTCCCTACTGTTACCGAGTCACTGGTTTGATGCCCATTTTACACGTGAGAGCACCGAAGCACAGTGGGAAAAGTCGTTGATCAAGAAAAGTGTGTAAAAAATATAACAACGTGCTTAGAAACTGAACCCGGCATATTTAGAATAAAATATTGAATGGCCTTTCCTCCATTGTTTAGCTGTTCTCCAGAGGGATCATTAGGATTTATTCCCTTTCGATGGCTACGAACGCAGTGGCATTCGATCCTAACAAAGCAGACCTTCTCGTAACTTTGACGACAACTGGTTATAAACCCAGGTGGAAAGACTGAAGACCATGGTCATCATTTTTCCCTGACAGTGTGAAGAGAAGCATGAAAGAGCACTACGTTGTCAACATTTCGATGGAGGATGACGTTTGAATTGGACTCAATCGCACCGCGGAGGGGACGTAGTGGGGTGATTAGTTTTTACTTGCAAATCACATCACAGTTACCAGTTGCGCTTCATGTACGAAGCAGCGCGATTTGCGTACAGCACCGGCAGGGAAGGAGACACGTTCAGGGCTTGACTGTACAAGGCGACGGCGAGCGAGTAGTCCTTTTTTTCGAACGCTGCGTTCGCCTTCTGCTTCAGCATCTCGGTAACGACGGCCAACGACTCGGAAGATCGCCTAGAACAGGAAGATTAGACATACGTCGTCAGCGAACTGCCAACCATGCGCGTACGTTTTCGACCTTTTCCACAACGCGTCCTGGTTCGAATGGTTCAAAAATCCATCGAAAGAAACCGCGCTGAACGGAAAACCGTTCGCCACTGTTCCATTGGTGCACGTTTTCGACGTTTCGCCTAAGAACATGCGTAAAGAACGTTGCTGAACAGGAGGTCGTAGAAACATTTTCGTCGCAAACCGTTAACTGATCAATGGCATTAACCACTGAACGATAATACTGGGTTTCTCACACTTTGCGTCTGCGCAAAATAATTACCGCTGCGTTTCGAATCCTACCAACGGCAGATTAACAATGTATACACCACTGCTTAAAAACTGTTCCTGTAGACAGTCGCATGGCCGCCTAATAACTAATAGTCACCGTATCTTTAAGAAAACCCAGAGTGAGACAAGGGTCCAATGCATCGGTATTAGTCTACCACTCGATAGACCGCTATATTGCATTGTGCAATAAATCGTTTTGCACTACTTTTTGTCAGTATGAAGCACTGCAATACACAGAACTACAGAGACGTATCGGTCTGAACTGCGCACGTTCAATCTCTGGTCGGTAGTACGATTAACATGTATGCTGAATGCCGTTCGCGCAAATGTTAACATTTCTTCGATTCATGTTCAGCAAAGGACGGTGGAAGATGACTTCAAGAAAATCGCTTCCAGAAAATTTTCAAGGCGAAACTCGTTACGACACAAACCTGACCTTCGCCTCATGAAAAGCGAGCAAGCGATCTAAAACTGAAATCACGTAAAACAGCGACTTACGGCGAGAGTGTACTCCTTTCTAGCTGTCACGGTAACTCTATGTTCTCAACAGCAAAATATTGCATTGGGACAAAGCAGCCGTACGAGACTCGTTCCTGTGAAACTGCACGAAGGCGTATGCATAATCCACAGAACTCGTAGGTTCACATCATTCACCGAAAGAGAATCCGCGTCTTTCAGTTAACAGCGATTCGTATATCCCTTTCCTTCCATCCGGCCTAAGCACAGCAAACCGTTCTTTCATACGCCATGGAACTGCTGTACAATACGCTAACTATGGTTCTGCCTTCCTTTCTGCCGAAATCCCGATTCTCTGGGATTTTGTTTCACTGTTAACTTAGAAGGTTAATATGCTCATATCTGTATTTTACCTACGCTGGTAAGAGTGATCTTTCTGGAGCAGAAAATTTCAACGGTGGTACTCTCATTCGAGACATATAATAACACAGTACGACTGTACTTGTCATGCTAAGCCTAACGGGATAACGAGGCGCTATTCGGGAATGACACCAAGAAACTGGACGAAATGGACAAAAGGAACAGCATCCATTCAAAGAAAATGTCAAACGGATATAAAGATGAAAACTGACGAAAATAAACATGCATAATCTAATTTTCGACGGCGATAATCACATGCTGATGTTACTCATTAATGCACTGAAGTCTTGATCACGGACATCAAATCGTCAAAATCGTTAGTAGGATGACGCTTTTAATCGCAAATTATGTTTTCGAAGAAACAGATCCATCGTCATTGAACATATTTAAGACAAAAGTGCTGCAATGTTTTTGAATGCTGCGGTTGTTCCGACTTGGAAGAAACCTATAGTTTCTTATTTGTTGCATTTTATAGCCACTTCGCGATCACCGACGAAATAACATGTATGAGTCACGTGCTACGGCCGCACTTGCGCATATCGACCTTAGTCGGTCTTAAACAAAACGCAATATTTTGACAACTGCTAATTTTTAAGCTTAGCTGTCAAGTGATTCGAGACGAATTGCAGCCGTAAAGCATAAGCGTCAGACCACATGGCCGAATGTCCCGCATGCACTGGCGTGAACACCACACAAGAACAACGTGCCATCCCTATTTTTCACAGGTCATCGTCATGCTACCCATTTCTCTGCTTGTTGCACTGAAGCACAATCGCGCGAACCTCTTGTTTAAGAAAGTCAGCAGTTAATAAGATCACATTATCACAAAACATAACCGCTGAAAAATGTTTCCGCTGGTGCTATGAGTATGCATGTTATTCGAGTCTCTACCGTTATGCGACTGTTCTACGAACCACAGATGTACCAACAACACGGAGCCAGATTTATTTAAATGAATCCTAGAATTCTTCAAGAAGACGGACGCACAATTCTGCCGTTTAATACGGCGTAATTATTTGTATGAATTGTCCTATAAGGTGGTATTGGTGTAAACAGCAAACATCGGTACTGGAAATAGTAAATTTGTATGCGAACTGTCCCTGAGAAGTATGCAAACAGACGATATGTGCACGAATCGGCGTTTCGCTGATTCGACAGTTAACACTGATAAATAACTATTCAAAAAAGCTAAGCGCATCAAAATTCAAGCATCGTGTATAACCGCGAGTTATTACCATTACCCTGAGAATCGAGGGTTCGAGAACCGAAACACTGGCGCAAATCGAAAATTACTGATCTTCGGTACGAGTTGACGTCGAAAAGGTAGATCTGCTCGCCACCGAGGTTGACTAGTAGGTCATTGCCGCACGGGCTGAAGGTGAGGTAAGTACTAGTCAGCGGGCGATATCTGCGCCGGAAGTCTGGCTGTTTGACTGGAAGATGTCCTGAAAAACAGTAAACGAGAACCGTTGAACAGCCTACTGACTACCAATGTACCTGCGACGTAGTACTTTACAGACTGCATAGGGAAGTCGTAGCTTTCGCCATCAACACTGAGGTCGAACAACGAGGGAGAAGGAAGTGGCGGGAACTGGATCTTTTTCATGCTAAGCATCCTTCAACACAAACTATTTGAGTGAGGGGTCTGAATGACGTAACACTAAAAGAATCACCTTCGGTCGTATACCCGAGCGAACGGATCGTTAGCGCCTACAGCAAGCAGCTCTGGCCTGCAACTGTTTAAAGAAATACACTTCACCTCCGCCTCCGGTCCGAGATGTGCGTTCAGGTTGATGAGGACATGACTGCATGTCGTTGTGCAATCAGCTGGCTCTCTGCAGTCGAACTGCCTGAAACGTTCAACAGGTCAAGGCGACGATCACAACAACGGTGCTTCATAAGTGAGCAAGTAAGCAAATACATGACAAGTCCGTCCTCGCTGGCACTCCAGATCAGGTGAGGCTCGGCGGGACATGTTGCCAGGCGCTTCACCCTGCCAAAATGACACGCGAACACTCGCTTCGTATCGTTTGTGCTTTGCAGGTGATGCGCGAAAATCTTGCCGTCACCGGCTCCGCTCACGACAACGTGGTCATTGGTTTCGGGTAGAAACTAGAGAACAGAAGACATTTACGAATACGGCGTATACCGTTAAAATGCAGCAAGACTACCTTCACGGAAAACACATTATTTGTATGACCCGTGTGAATGGTATGAAGGTTTTTTCGGAGAAACGGGTCCCATATAATCACGTTGAAATCATCCGAGCCGCTGGCCAACAGCCTAAAACAGAAAAAAGCGTCCACCACATTCGCTGGAATCAAAAATCAGATCTCAGTATTTCAAGCGTAAACAAAAACAGCAGGAAAAGAATCAATCGTCATTGTGGCAAAAAAGTTCTCCCAATTTCAACCAAAGATCATACGCCAGTACAGTGCAAAATCTGAAGGCTACTACAGAAAATAAAACATGTGGCTGCAGTAACCTGATAAGTCAAACAGTACTTGAAAGAAATAAAAATATTTATGGTCCGTCAGATGAAATGTAATCTACAGTTCCTTCGCACGACGTTGAGGAATGTTTCATTAAAAGATAAACCTTAAAGCTCGAAAGTGAAAATATGAGTATGCTTCAGCAGCACTACCGTTTAGTGAGCGCACATTTGGTGGTAACGTAGTGCACAGACTGATTATTTTCTCCGAAGTGAATGTGAATGGGTCTTGGAATTTCTATCCGTGCCAATGGCGCGCACATCAGCCGGGTAATGTTCTTATGTGGCTAGTGGAGAATGACAGCTTCAGCGGCAGATCGAAACCAACTTGAAAGATGACAAATTCCTAGATCATTTGTCTGTCTGCAGTGGTGTGCTTCATAATATTTGCCAGCAGTCTTGGGTAGTGAACACGTTTTGATTGCGTGAAACACTGATGATTTCAACTGCGAATGTTAAAGCGCCTCTTTCATACAATCAGTGTTTCAACGCGCAGTATTCATAAGTTTTCAACACCTTTGCTATATAGCATTCGCTGCAGCATCGCGGACGGAAATATTTCTCTCTGAAAGTAGATCGACATCCAACTTATTCCATCACGTTGCATTCTGGCCTCCTGGTCGATGTCCGCGGTGTTTCGGATATCATATGAGAAGGTCATGGGCTGGAGTAAATGGTTTATACTCAACTAACGTGTCCAATAGGAAATAAACTCTTTTCTTTAATCTCTACATCCACTGAGGACATGTTCCTGGAAGAGGACAAAGTTATTTTAATGTGGTCCAGCCTTTTGGCGTTCGTTTTGCGTCGAGGTTAACGTTTCTGTTTGCAATGCAACCCTAGCTCTTGCACCTCTGTTATAACAAATGCCTCCATGCCGCACAACAACAGTGACACGACTGGAGCAAGGTCCAGGCGGATATTCGTGCGAAGAATAACTTCCTAATCAGTTCAAATATTTGGCACTTGCTCAACCGTTCCATCGCTGGAGATCACAGATCCGAGATACGTAAACTGGTCAACCTCCTGAAGGACTTCACCTCCCCCCCCGCCCCAACTGTAGAACAGTTCTGCTGGATTAGTTATGCATACTATCTGACATCCGGGAGTTAAGGAAGTGATCGACTTTCGCAATGTGGCGGAAGCCGTCAAGTGGCATAACCCGCCCATAACGGAGACAATATCAGGTAAGTGCTCCAAGTCAGCGAAATGTATAGCCGGATTTCTTGAATTTTGTCTTTCTTTAGAATGACATATTCATCTCTGCCACGGTCAGTACTGTTTCAGAGAAGAAAGTCGAGAACACTACTGAACTGCAAAGGCGAAATTCCAATGAAGGCTCCTGGGAATCAAAGGGCCGAATTCGCATCACCCACAACCGAAATGACGTTGCGGGCGCAATCTGTGTAAATAAATACTGCACCGTGGCAGCGAGACAATGATCATCAGCCGATTGGAACATACTGTAGGCGAAGCACCATCAAGTTACCTCTCACAGAGAAGCCACCCCTCACCTTGTGGCCTTCCGCGATAAAAACTCTGTATTAGACTTGAAAACTGTAGTAGACTTGAATTTGGGAACCGTGTTTGCTTGCCTTGAATACCAATTCTGTCGCCTACATGAAGCTGAAACGAACTCAACAAGGACTGCCGATCTAAGTAACTAAGATTGACTTACGTCCCAGCGTCATTCCACTGGAGGCAGTTGACACAGCCTGTGTGACCCTAAACAAGAACAAATTCGATGACATCGAACACATGATCTACCTGAACATTTTTTTAAGAAACCTGAAGCGTGCAGCTGAAACCGAGTCGATGTATAAGATCCGGGGTTACGCTAAAGTGCTGGGTGAACAGCTGGTGAGTCGGATCCTGAAACATCAGCCTTTATTATGAACGTAGCTTCAAAACGAAGAGTTCAGTTCATCTTCGCTTTGCTCAAAGACAAGAAACCATACGCAACAGCCACTCGCATCGTTACGATGAAAGTAAACGGTAACAAACGACGATATTAAACGATAGTAACAGCAGAAAGTTATAAGTTTTCAGAGAGTGAGAAACGCATCGACGATACGGCAACAGGACAGGGTTTCACTTTAGTAAGAGGTAAATAATATGATTACTGATTTCATAAACAGTAAGAAAAAATTCTCGCAGAACAAGCATTCCTCTGAAAAAGTTTTGGAACAATAATTTCAGGCTTACATCCTTTCTACGTGTCACATCCGAATAGGCGGTTGATGTTGTTTTGTCCCAGTCAACTGAAGCCAACAGAGCTTAAACAGAAGAATAACTCAGATAGGTCTGCTTCAAACAGGATTTTCCACGTACTGTATTGTCCTCCTGCGCTTCTGCGGCCAGTGCCTGGCTCCCAAGAGAGAAAGGTTTTGAGTATATTTCTATC